AGGACATGTTGGTATACACTATTTCATTTCGACGATAAAAGCTGTTTGTGAAGATATTTTCAATCTAATCATTCTTTTAAAAACAATTCATTGTACAACTAAGAGCATATAAAAACAGAGTACTCACCCGTTCATAAATCGTTTTATTCACCAGATAATTGAACCTGAAAAGAACTTTATAAAATTATATCTAAAAAAATTACCGTCACTAATTTAACATGGCTCCCGTTCGAACGAAAAAAGATTGGAACTGAAACTTAAAATTCACAGTCACAGTTAAAGTTCCGTTCCCGCGCGAAGAAAACTAAACTTCAACAACCAATCAAAAATTGGAAGAGCATACGTTGTCGCTAGAATCAGACACAGTTGATTCGAAATATATGTCTTTTGCAAGTGGCAACTCGTTTCAAATGAAAATAAACGGGATGGAAGCGCTTGATGAGATAATTTAAAAGATGTACCGTCTTTTTTTACACAAGCCACAACCAATTCAGCACGAAAAATTTGCAGTTATAAGAAATATATGTATACATCATGCGTTTGTCAAAGCACTGAAAAACAAAACTACTAATTTCCGCTTTGAGAGATTTATTTACAGAAAATAACTTTTATAGCATAACTGACGTATCTGTGATTCGCAGCATCTGACAAGGGAATATTAACTATCGAATTTCAAGATGAGATGTCTTTATTTGAAAGTATAGAGTATTTCATTGTTGGTAAGACTTTATTCACATTCAACAGTAGTTAAAAACTCAATTTTTCCTGTTGAATTTACTGAATAGAATAACATGATTCAAGATTCTTTTAACATTTGAAAGTGAAAAATAGTTATGTTAATAACAGTTCATATTAATTACATTTTATGCATTCAATAAAAGAAAATGAGAGAATAGCTTTATAGAAGGAAACTCTGGTTTGTTTCTCTAAATTGAGGTGCAAATAACACATTTTTTTATGCAACTGCCTTTTAAGTGTATGAATCTTAAATAAGATTGAAAAGTTTGTTTTGTAGCAGCAAGTGCATGAAACTCTGCATCATCCCTTTCTCAAATGTTGTTATTGATTTTGATAGAATAACAGTTAAAATTTCAAGTTCTGTAGTGTTATAATGTTGAATTGTCAAGCATTCCAAAGTAGGGCATTAGAAGTAATGAATTTCAAAGAGTATGTGTATTGATGAAGTTATATACCACACCTCACTTCTTGAACCATCCTTCAGAACAGTGGCCAGGAGAAACAAATTAAAACCCAAAAATGACAAGTTTTTTTTTTAAGGACATGCCACTCAGGTTCATTTGTTGGTAATGGAACACACAAGAACACAGGTATCTGTAGATAACTGGAAATTCTTATTAAACGGAAACACAACACATTCTCTCCAAATGCAAATCTTTTCAACATGCATTCCTAATGATTAAATATTATATTCTTTATGAAATCAAAGTTTTCAGTCAATTGAACAAGAGAAACGACACTAAAAATACATCATTCGAAATCTATTGCATTTTCTGAATACATTTCAATTTACAACTACAGTACAAGTATTGTAAAAGACTTCATGTTTCTATCCTAACAATTACTGATTGTTGATTACAGTGAATACACTAAAAAACAAAAGTTCCTCGAGGGAAATGTGAAAGAAACAAGTTTTAAAGTTTCAATTCAATTGGAAAAATAGAAACATCATTCAAAATTTAGTGACTTTTCCTCAGAATTTAATTATAGGAATTTTTTGTTTATAGGAAGCAAAAATTACACACTGAATTCAAAGTTTGCGTTCAATGGTTCCTTTTAAACACTCAATTCAATATAACAAAACATTTGCAAAAAACAAAAAAAAAAATTCCGTTATCGGATAAAGTACAAACGAAACATACAAACTACTTTCTGTTCACACACAATTTCAGATAAAAACAAGAACATTCGATCCATTTTAAAGAACAAACATTAAGAGATATGAAATTTATACTGAATATTTACACAGAAATTACATTTGCAGCATTCTCCGAAAAGGGGCAATTTAACGTGAAAACATATATCGTAGTTATTACAATCTGTATAAAAAAAATAATAAAATTCCGTTTGTCCTGAAATGGCTTCCGAAAACGTCAGAGGATTCAACGAAACTGAAATCTAACAGTCAAAGTTGAAGTTCCATTTCCGCGCGAGAGGAAAACTCCATCAGCCAATCAAAAAAATCGAGGAATATACATGCGCTAGAATTCAGCCTCGGAACATCTGAACTATATGTCTTTTGGTGAGTGGCAACAAGTTTCAAAACAGAAACTAACGGTCGAAGCGTTAGAATGTTTGCAAAACATTGTAATAACAAAACGATGGTATCGTTGCAGAAATTAAAAAAAAAAAATGATTTCATAATGAAATATGAAAATTTTACGAAACATGGGAAAATTTCGAAAACAAAAGATTAATATGCTATTATTTTCTTCTTCAGTTGAATAAATTTTAAAAGTAGAAACAAAACCGTTACCATTTCAGCTTAAATCCAGTTATTTAAAGGATATCTTGAGAAAGGTAAGGTATCAACTCTTAAAAACATGAAGTTGATTTTGTTTCAGACATTTTAATGAAGGATTGATAGTATTATTGTTACATGAATGTTAGAAACTTTTAACAGTTAGAGGGGAAGCAAAGTTTTTTTGTTAACGAAATTAAAAAAAAAGTTAAATGAAAATTATCGAGATTTAATATCAATTTGAATAATTTCACTCATTGACATAAAGCGTATCACATTGTATAATTATTAAACACATAATAATGGATTGTTAGGAAAACTGAAGTTTCGTTCATGTCACATGCAAATTATAGCAAAATTCATTTTCAGGAATTCAATTTAAAGTAATTCTTACAAACCAGTAGTTAGCTACATAACATTCAAAATGGGGATGTTTCTGAATTAAAAATGCTTCTTCAAAAGACATTAGAATTCAGTTTGGAAAAGAAGTGTCTGTTTACTTGAAGGTGACTGATTCTAAAAAATGAGTATTACATTCAACTTGAAAAATTGTTAGAAAGAAATTACAGATTGACAAGACAAC